AAAGGAAAGCATATGAAGCTAACTCTGGGTTTTGTTGACTACATACACAGATTTTTTTTAAAGAGAAGAAGAAAATTCACAGAGAGTATTACATTGAGTCTTGGTAATTGAGACGTGGATTTCTCTTTTCAGATGTGGATTTTTCTTTTCATAACTTTCTCAAATAAGTCTGAAGTTTCAGAGGCAAGTATTTTTGCTTCTCAAACTGCAATGTGCTAACATGCCTCTGTGGGGAAATATGAATAAGCCCTTAATAATATTTGATGCGCCTACACTTCTGTGGGCATAGTGGTAGTAAGAAGTCAAGTAATATCAGTTTTCTAATTTCTAAAAATAAAATAATCTAACTCATAAGATAGAATGCATGAGAACTGAGAGTTGCTCATCCTGGCTCAGTCACTTCCTAGTGGCATGCCTTTAGGAAAGCCCTTTAAACTCTTTGGATCTCACTTCCTCACCCCTAACATAAGACAAATGGCAAGACAATCTCCTCTGTATAAAGGATCTCTTTCCATGAGATTTTATGTTTCTAACTTTGTGCATAAAGTGGTTGTGGGGCTATATCTTTTTGCTATGCTTGTTAGGCTGACAGAAGACTGGGGAAAAAAGAAGTGAGGAAGCATAAAATATATTTTTCGTAAGTGAACTTGAAATGCCCCCTTCCTGACTAATGACTTAATTGCATTGAGTAAGGAAAAAAGGCTTCTCTGGGAAAGAAGAAAGAAAGTGACATAAATTGTTAATCTGGACTTGATGTATATAACATAAAATTAGTTGATAGAAGTGTAAGCAGATGCTTCTTCCTCCTCATCTAGCTGACATGCATGAAGAAAAGAGTGAAAGAAATTTTTAAGAACATCAGTGTTAGCTACAAGAGAATGGGAAAAGCATCACACAAAAGAACCAATATTTGGCTTAAAAAGAGGCATAAGAATACAATGTTCTTGGGAAGTACAAATCAAAGTTTTGAATGCATTTCAAATAAGCATATAAACCAGAAATAAAATATTCCAAAGATTCCTTTCAGTCAGCAAACATCATGAGATGCTACTTTGAACAACACCTTGAAAATTTTGGTGTATTGCACTCTATCACACATCTTTGGGATAAATTAATAAGTATAATTCATTAATTTTTTGTGTATGAATGTTCAGTTCTCATCATCTCATTTATCTATAACAAAGGCTTCTCTAGAGCTATGAAGATGTTCTGTGTGGGGTGCCCTAGAAGCAAGGTAAGTTGGGAATACTATAAAGTGTCTGAGATAAAGGCATATTTTCTTTCAATTGTATTTATTCTTCACTTGTTAGATTGAGAGATTGGTGTATTTTCAGTTTTTCTCACATCCACATAATAGATACTGTTAATAGTTTATCATACAAAGGTGGCTGATCAATAGGCAATATGGAGTCAGAACAAAACCTAGGCTCCAACTCCAGAACAGTTTATTTTCTGTGTGAATTTTGGCAAATTACTAAACTTCTCTGATCTCTAATTTTTAAAACATTAAAGCAGATACGATGCTCACTCAGTATTACTGTGAATTTGAATGAAATTATATATATATATATATATAATATTTGCCATACTGGAATTACTCAATATGTTATTAGGGTTTTTTTTTAATATTTAAAATATTTAATATTTTCCAGAAATAAAAGCTATCTTTCAAAGTATAGATTAAATAACAATTCTTTATTTCATAATATACTCCATTTCTCAGTGGAAAGAATCTTCAAAGACTATGGAAATTGTATATAAACCCCTTTCAATAATAAGGAATGCTGAGCACTGTGGATAAAGAGCACTGTTTCTGCCAATGGAATAAGAGCAAATTTCAAAAGAAAGAAAGAACATTAATTTTCTTGTTCTTCTTGTATTGAGCATCTAAATGTGCTGATCACTCCTTCAGTAAACATCTGAGCAAAATATACAATGACACCAGCCCTCATCATGTCGGCCCACATGGTGTATCCTAGTGGGTGGAAAGAGATAAACATTAAATAGAATTACTAAATAGTATATTGTATTATTGGGAAGTAAGAGATATGGGAAAAGATACAGTAGAGTTCTTGTGACCAAGATGGGATAGAACAGGATGAATTTTGAATAAGGACTTGAGAAGATAAGGACATTTGCTATGAAAATGCAGAACAAAGACAATAGGTTGGGAGTGTAAAGTCATATCTGTTGAATGACAAAGAACTCATTATGAGTGAAATGGCATAATCAAGAAGGAAGTAAGTAAAGAAGTGATGTCCTAGGCAATAAGTGAGATTGTGGGTGCCTTTCTAGACATTATGGAAACTTAGCTTTTACTCTGGATGAAATGGCAGGACAGGGTGGGCCTGCAGTGTTTTGAAGAGGAGTAGTATTCTACAACGTACTCAAATAAAATTAAGCTGGCTACTGCTTAAGAAGTGATGTGGTTTAGCTGTGTCCTCACCGAAATCTCATCTGGAATTGTAGTTCCCATAATCCCCATGTATCATGGGAGTGACCTGGTGGGAGGTAATTTAATCATGGGGGTAGTTACCATTATTCTGTTCTCATGAGAGTGGGTAAGCTCTCATGAGCTCTGATGGTTTTATAAGGGACTTTTCCCCCTTTGGCTCATTCTTCTCTTTCCTGCCACCATGTGAAGAAGGACTTGTTTACTTCTCCTCCTGCCATGATTGTAAGTTTCCTGAGGCCTCTCCAGCCATGCTGAAATGTGAGTCAATTAAACCTCTTTATTTTATAAATTATCCAGTCTTGGGTATGTCTTTATTAGCAGCCTGAGAATGAATTAACACCAGAAGAGAAATTTCAGGTTCTCAAGAGGAAGCCATGAGACACATTTGGAAGTTATTTCAGAAAACCAGGAAGTACACTAGTATGAAAAAAGTAGAGAAGATGAGGTCATTATGCTAGACACATTTTGAAATCCAAAATAACAGATCTGATGAGGTAATGGACGTGAGGTTTGAGGGATAGAGAGTAGTGAAGGAGAACACCCAATTTGGGGCCTGAGCAGTTGGAAAGATGGAGTTGCCAGTAATTGAGCAGGGAAAAACTACGGGGAAATAGGTAAATTTTAGAAGAAAATACAAAGAATTGAGTTATGTACATATCAACTGTCAGAGATATTCATTAGTTATCCAAGTGGATACATATAAATGCAGACTGAAGTCAATGGAAGAGAGCTTACCTGGAAACCTTAATTTGGGTTTTCCAAACTAAATTTTATGTACAATGGTGAACTGATAGTAGTAAAGCCATGGAAAGTAGATGAGTTCACCTAAAAGTATAAGTAAGAGTAGATAGAAAGGGAAGCATCCAAGGGCAGAGACATGGGAGCATTCAATACTAAGAGATCAGCTACATGCACTCTGTCTCAGGCACTTAGTAGTCAACCCGTCCGGGTCCATCAGGCAGAGTTAGAACTCTATGCTTTGATTTATCCACCCCTCCCATATTGAACACTATCATTACCTATCAGAAACCTTTCTCTCTTCCAAGAACCACCTACCCATTTCATCTCCTCCAATAATCCTTTTTTTTTTTTTTTTTGAGATGGAGTCCTACTCTGTCACCCAGGCTGGAGTGCAGTGGCACAGCCTCAGCTCACTGCAACCTCTGCTTCCCAGGTTCAAGCAATCTTCCCACCTCAGCCCCCCTAGTAGCTGGGATTACAGGCACATGCTACCATGTCCAGCTAATTTTTGTAAATAGAGACAGGGTTTCGCCTCATGTTGGCCAGGCTGGTCTCAAACTCCTGACCTCAGGTGATCCACCTGCCTCAGCCCCCCAAAGTTCTGGGATTAAAGGCATGGGCCACTGCACCCAGCCAAGAATACTTTAATTGCGTTATTCCTCTGTGGTCACTGAGAGCTAGGCAAGGTGTGCTCTGCATTATGTATGTGCTTCTATTGCCCCCTTTAGCAGATTGCAATTACTTTGATGGCAGCCATCTTAGCATTCCTATCACCACCATTATAAAAATGACATGTAATTAGTGCTTAATACATGCCAGGCTCTTAAGTGCTTTTCATGCATAATCTCATTAAATTCCTTAATTCCCCTACTTGTATTTTCTAGATGACGAAATTGAGACTTGCAGAACTAAGGTAGCCTGGTTAAGGCCTCCTAGCTAGAAAGAGGCAGGGTTGCTTTTCAGGATCAGCTCTCCACTACTCCAAAGACCTTCACCTTTGGCCTGGGCCATCTTCGTGTTATTTATTTTATAGTTGTCTAGTAAAAGGTAAATAGTATATAAAACTTGTTGGTTAAATAAGTTATTGCTTGAATAATGGCATTGCTTTCTTTTAGGCAGCCACAATAAAACCTTGACTAACAAAAATCAATATTACACAACATTCAATTAATTACATTTCTTTTCATTTTTTGCTATAGTTTACTTTTAATGGAATGTGGCAAATCCCAAGAAACTAGTTTGACTTTACATTTTCTATCTAAATTGAACAAACTGTTAAAACAGTTCCCTGAGGTTAGTCCATCATCTTTGGCCATCTGTATGGGTGACATTCTTCCCTGAGAAATTATGATCACGAGGACCAAAGGATCATTTGACCTTGAACTTGCAGACAAGGATATTTGTTATATTCCCTTGACTTGAGAACATTTCAAAAAATAATATTTTGAACAATTTTAGCAACATGAATCAAAGCACACATTTTGTTGAATCTTTACAAACCCTAAATCTTAGAATGTCTTATTTCTCGAATACAGCACAATGCTATTCAGTACCCTACCCTTATTCTGCAGAGCTTGCACTGTGATCTGACTGGTGTCCACCTGCCATCATTTGCATCTGTGGGGCTGAGGGTTTCATTTCTGGACCAAAGGAAGCTACTCTGTGCATACACGGCAGCTCAGAAACACCAAACATGAACACACCATCACCACTGCCACTGTTCCTCTCCTCCCCCACACCTATCCAATAACTCTTCATACAGTGAGTCTCAGGAGGTGGTATGTAAATATCTCAGCTTTCTCACCTCTCAGATGGGGTCATTCTGAGGTGTGTGTTTTCTACGATATTCCAGAGGTCCCCTGCAGGATTAAGCTCCAGCCACACACAGTGATAGCTAGCTTAATAAAGCACTCTTTAATGGATGACTTCACTTCCCTGGGCCTCTCCCCTACCACCCTCAACTAGTGTTTCCTGCACCTCCCAAATAAACTGCTTGCCCTCATGTCCTTATGTCTGGTTCAGCTTCTGGGGAAACCCAAACTAAGACACTAGGCATTCGGGTTTGCGGGGCTTCGACTGCAGTGGTAGTTAAATCGTCCTAGATGGAAAGAAGAAAGTGACAGCATGCATTTCTTCTCTTCTTGTGTTCTCTTTAGCCAAAATTGCCATATTCAACTGTTTTTACATGTAATCTTTGTAGAGAAATGAAAGAGATTATTTAATAGTTTACACAAGTCCTATAATTTGGAATATGAATGCAACATATGTGTTGCTTATGTGTTGGCTCTGTTCTAGCCCTTGATATGTAGGCGCAATAAACAATTTGAGTACATAGGGGAAAATCTCACAGAAAGAGCATTGTATCTGCACCTGTGAAGAACAAGTATGGTTCGAGGATATTTCTAACTCTGGGGAGTGATAAAAGTGTGACATGATAAGATATACAAACCTATAAAGACATGAGTTAATTTTCAAAATACTCTCTCCACTATAAACTATTAGGCAAATATAGGACAGTGCTATTATTATAATGATGACTGACATATTCATGATATCATATGAAATAACCTAAAATCTGCTTCTAAAATATGAAAAAATCATTTCCTCACAATAAACTCTAATTTCTCAATCACCAAATCTTATCAGGGCCTCTTATATCTATGAAACTTATACTAATATTCAATTTACCTCAAAACTGACTCATAAAAGACTGTCTCCAGCTTGTATTTTGAAGTAAATATTTTAGCATCTGCTTACGATGTCTATCAAAAATGCTTAATAAAACCTTTAATGTGAGACTTTATTAGTCCTTGATGTTAAATGTCTAGAATAATCTTCCTCTTAGGGATCCTTTCTAACTGCAAGTTTAAATTTTAAGGGCTTTTAAATTTTCCTTTTTGTTTGTTTTGTTTTTTTAATAGCAATAAATGAGTCCACTACATGATTACTCTAAACATCTTTGATTTTAAATAAGTTCTCAGAGAAAACTAATAGCTCTAAAATTCAGCCCTTTCTTAAAAACCAAATCCATTTCTACATGATGTAATTTCTTTCCAAAATTAATTTTAAGGACTAGAAATTCCTCACCGCTAATTGGTACATTGGGTATAATATGTGTTTTTAGATACAGAGTAAACAATTTACTTTAGTATCAAGGAAACATAGTTAAGATTTTATTAGAATTCTAAAAATGAATAATAAGCCCAGCCCTGTGCTTGTTGCAATAGCTAAAATAAACTTGCTGCTCACACCACGGTGACTTAGCTAAGCTCTTCTTTCATTCCATCAAACTGCATGGGGCAGCAGCTGGGCTTTTTTCCGACACCCTTGGCATGTTTACTGCAGCCGTGTAACTTAGTCTCAGAGGGCTGGGACTGTTGCTGGGGCTTGGACCACACCTTCCTGCTGCTTACCTAAAGCCCATTGGTCATGGTTTCATAATCAGGCAGTTTTGCACAGTGTCAACATAGGGACATTGACAAAAATATTCTCTGTGTTTCTACAGGTGTTATATTTTTCTCCCCTGGTGACTACTAATCATTCAATTGGACTAAAATGATATATTTTAAAAAACAATATCCTGGCATTGCTGAGAACATGCATATAAGGCCATGAAGGTCTACACAGCAAGGATTGCACAATAACCCATTAAAATAAACATTTGCAACCACAGATAGCTGGACTGAAATCCTGCTCTGATACAAATAACATCTGGACAACTTTTGTTTGTATCTTCCAGCATAAAACACCCTTGAGAAAAAATAGAAGGAAAGCTAAAAGACAAAGGACCACTAAAGGTTTTATTATGCTGTGGGTGTGGTGCCATAAATTTGAGGGGGCTCTCAGGCCACAGTTGCCAAACCTGAATTTAAACAGCATGTTGTTTTTAAAGTTGTAACACTGGTGAGGAACAATTCGGTTTTCTTACATAATTAATCCAGTGTGAAATAGAGTGACTGGAAAACATCCATTGGTTTAAAAATAACTCAATTATTTATAAGTTCCACAGTGCTATAGGATTCTACACTAAGGAGAAGAAAGTGAAACATCTTGGTACCAAGCAAGGGCTTCAGGAAGTCAACATAAACAATCTCATAGTAAAAGATTATGCTGAGGCCAAAGACACTACGGTTTCCTTAGGTTATGGATCAGGCTAGTGAGCAGGAAAAAGTTTCCTTCCTTGACATTTATATATTGCTGATAGATATTAGTATATATTACTAATACCCAAAGAACTGAACAATGTGAAGTGGGGGTGTTAGGCTGCAGGGAACAGAAGGAAGAGGGAGGAGGTCTGGGAAAGAAAGAAAAATGAGCCTCTTTTATAAGATCTATATAACATAGGCCATGAATCATACATGACAGTGAATGGACTTTAATTTCTAATGTTGTTCTTTGATGTGAAGCAAAATAATTACAAGCCGAAAGATACTAGAAAGTATTATATTCAATATAAAGATAAAGAAATTAGCCATAAATAAACCCTTCTATAAAATCTCATGCTCAGGGCGGGCTCACAGTTAGCAACATACATTTGTGTCAGCTACAGCTGGCTGCTAAACAAAGGGAATGAAAGTTTGCTTTAGTAATATTAAAATCTTGCAAAATATTTCACAGTTGTCTCAGGCATTTTTTGCTCTTTTTTTCTACTTAAAGGAGGCATGTGAGAGGTGGCAGTGATCTGAAAGAGCCAAGTCAAAAGTTAGCTCATGGATCTGTAAGGTGCCTTTAAAGGTCTAGAGGGCTTTACTAAGTCATGTGATTTACTTAAATTTATCTACTGTTTCAGCGAGAATACAGAGATAAATAAAATAAGGAAGCAGATTTTTCTTTTTTTTCATTTGGCCGCTCCATCGACTGTGGGTCTAGTATGCTCCAAACTTACTGTATTTGTTTTTTTATCCTTGGAAACAAACAAATATGAAACACGATTGTACAATTTATTTACTAGGCTAAACAAACATGGTTTTGATGTGCTAATACCCATAACAACAAAAGTAGATGCTAGTTATTTAAATAAACCATTAAGTTGAGAACAGTAATTATTTCTTAAAAATTTGTTATTGATTCATGAATATAACCTGATACATCAATTTTAGTAATTCCACTATAAAAAGAGATTTTTTTGTTATTTTTGAGGAGTTGTGACAGTGAAAATATTGAAGGAAGGTAATGGGGGAATTACAGTTCCAGGTGGTTGGAATTATAATATCTAACTGCTATTAAGTGAAATTGTTTTAGCTGTAGTCCTGGTACTAATAACTGGGAGATTACTGCTAAAATAATTTTACAAAGTTTTTGACTAAGGATCAAGTCAGCAAATAGGCTCATGACTACCTTGTTCCCTGACAGTTCCATTGCCTTGCCACTTTTTCCTTCTTTTTTTAGTATCAAGTCAATGCCTATTATCCAGCCATCAGTGGTCTGTTTCTGCAGTTGATCTTTAATTTCACTTTCCCTATCCAACTCAAAAAGACACAAGCATATCAAGGCTTCTTTGATGGCACTGAGTTCCTGAAGCAACAAAATCCTTCTGGAAATAAACTAGAACAATTCCACTGATGAGGTCAGTGCATCATTTATGCATGTGAAAAGAGAAGAGAAAACTGAATACTGTGCAAAAAAACTATCAATTTGCTCATTCTTTGAAATTTTTTCATATACTCATTTACTTAAGGCCTACTTGTGCCAATGATGTTAATTATTAGGATGGAGATACAATGTATTGCTTCTGGGGTGGAAGTTAATGATAAGTGTTACACAAATAGGGGAAGCCACGACTCTTACTAAGGAAGCTGAAAATGGCCTCAAAGAGGGTAAGATATTTGAGGTGGGTCTCAAAAAAGGAACAGGATGCATTTGGTGAGGAAGAAGGATATAAAGTATTCCAGGTAGAGAAAAGATCATAAGAATGAAGAGGCATAAAACTGCATGATGCTTGGGGAAAGTGTCACTGTATGGTGTGACTGGAGGTATGTGAGATGAGATACAAATGCAGAGATAGGTTGGGACTAGACTGCAGAAGAAGCCATGCCAAGGAGTTTTCTCTCAAGGCAATGGGAAGAATGGAGGATTAATATAGAGTATGAAATAATCGGCTATAAAAATGTAAGTAAAACTTGCTCGTTTGCCTTGAAGAAAGGAACAGGCTATTTTTAGCAGAAATTGCTACAGCCTATTGTAGAGTGAATTATAACGGCCACCTTAGCAGTGAGAAAAAGATGGCAGCTCATGAGGTTTAAGCCAATTGTTTCTGTTTCATCATTCCTTACCATCCACCCCCATCTTCTCTTCTGTTCATGATTTACCAGCATAGATTTCCTTATCTACCAAAGAAAAAAAGACTTTGATCTCTGTCTCCTCCAACAACAACAAAAAAAAAAAAATTAGAAAATCCTTGATGTTTCAACCTGTGGACACTACAGCTGTACTCCCATGAGGAAAGTGAAGTGATAAATTAGGCATTGATCCAGATTATGCAAGCCTCCTTTATCCATCATCACCTCAAAAATTATCTGGCCTTTTTTAAAATCTCTATACTTAGTATAAAAGAAACACTTTCCTAACAGATTATCCCTTCACATTTTATTTTGTTTTATGTAGCTATAGACTTAATAAGCCTATATGAACAAACTTTCTGGCACTTTGCAGGGGCAGCACTAGTTCTTTAAAAAAAAAAAAAAAAAAGAAAAGAAAAGAAGAAAGATTATTCCAAGATAAAATGCTAGCATTATGACCCACGCAGACCACCTGGAATTCTTTAAACCATTACACTCAGTAACAATTCTTCTCATGCAGTGTAGCTTGTACTTCCTAATTTCTCAAGAGATATTTACTTGGACACTAGCTCTTTGTTTTCAACAGTTTTCCTGCCCTTGCAAATTAATCCCCACCTGTAGTCAAATGCTTCCATTTATGAAATCACAACAGTTGTTTAAGTCATTGGATTAAGAATGGAAAAGTTTATGTAATTTGGGGGATGTGTGAAGAGAAAAAGGATATTTTTAAATGAGCAAGACAAACGTCTTATCGATGATTTTATCATCCTTACAGATAAAATAATAAAGAAAAGTAGCCGGGTATTCCTGGAACTATGAAAGTAAAGCTGAAACTACGTTTTTTTAAAGGCAAATGGAAGTGACTAGTACAGATCTTCAATGGCCTTTATAATCATCAGAATCATTCATTCACTCTGTACTCAGTACAATATAATACCACCAAAGAGAAGGCTGAAATGAATGAGCTAATTATTAGGCTCCATTCTGCTAAGCTACTATGAGATGATTCGAATCACATGCATTTACCCCGTGACACAGAGAGCAGAGTCATATGAAAAATCTGTTACTGAATTTAAATTAGATTTTATATTGTCAAACTGAATTATTACGAACCCTAAATAATTTTTGCAACAAATGATGCCTATGATCTACAGTTAGTCAGTTAACCAGATAATTGCCAGTTCTCCAAGTTCTTCATGTTGTGAAAATTTAGATGGCTTATCGTGGAAGAGGACCATAACCTGCTCTTTCCTATGCTCTGTTTGAGAGGTAATGATGAGGCCATGATGTAAAAATAATGAGTAAGTGGCAAACTTAAGACTTCCACTTTCAACTCAGAAATAACATTGAAGATCATTAATAAACTACCAAAAACCAGTGAAAGAAGGATCCAAAAGTGTCAGATGTTACCATTTCCAATGATGAAAACTGAGAGTAGTGCCTATCCTTACTAGCCAGCTTGGAAAACCTCATGATTACTGGAGCATTCGATAGGGAATAATTAGACCTAGATTGAGCTTTGCTCCAGACCCAACTAACAAATCTTAAAAGGAAGATCCAAAAGAATCAAACTATGTTCATATGATTTAACTGTGTGCCAGAACATAGCTCTAGAATAATTACAGAAACATAAATATCAGACACAAAATAAAATAAAATATATGATGACTGTCATCTAATCAAATATGACCAGGTGTGAGAAGTATAAAAATACAACCCATGAAAAGAAAGAAAATCAAGCAAATCAACATAGGCCTTCCATAGATGTTAGAATTAACAGATAAAGATGATAAGTTGGAATTTATAATTGCATTGTAAAAGGTAAAGAAAGAGATAAAAATGTTTTTTACTACCAAAATCAAACTTGTAAAGATGAAATCTACAGTCTCTAAGATGAAATACATTGGATGATATAAGTTGCAGATAAGATGCTGCAGAAAAACAATAATAACAAATTTGAAAACATAGCATTAAAAAACAAAAATAAAATACATATTTTTAAATGAACAGAAAAATATGTTTTAAAATACTTATTTAAAAAAGGATTAGGGAGTTGTGGAACCACTTTACATGGCCTAATATTCATGTCACTGGTGTCCCTGAAAGAGTTGAGAAAAAGAGGATGGACAGAAAAATAACTTGGACAAATTATGACTGACAATTTTCTTAATTGATGAAAACTGCAAACCTGTAGATCCAGGAAATTCAACCAAACTTAACCACAAGAAATACAAAGAAAACCTCACCGGATTACGTTATAATCACATTGCTCAAAACCAGGGATAAGAGAAACTTTTAAAAGTGCCCAGAAGAAAAAAGAAGCCAAGATAAGGATAAAGAACCAAAGATAAAGAGACAGCAGATTTCTTGTTAAACCAGTAAAAACAGGAAGACAGTGGACTATCATTTTTAAAGCACTGAATGAATAAATCTGTAAAAACATCTTTCAAAAACAAAAGTAAACTAAAATTTTGCATGTATACAATGGCTGACAGAATTTGTTACTAACACGTAGGTAATATAAGAAATGTTAAAGGAATTCCTTCAGGTTGAGTAATAATAAATGAAAATATGTATCTACACAAATAACATCAGAAAAGGCAATTACGCGGGTAAACAAATTGTTTTCTTAGTATTCAAGCTCTTTAAAATATTATGGACTATTTAAACAAAAATAATAAAAATATGTTGTGGGGCTTATATGTGTAAGTAGAATTTAAAACAGCAGTAGTTCATATCTAGGACAATACTGATAGAAGAATACTATGGTAGAGTTCTATATAGGACTGTAATAAGTTAAAGATATATACTATGAACTATAAGATAATCATTAAAGTAATAAATCAAAGACTAGTGGTTAATACATCAAAAAACATAAAACGGAATAATTCATTATATTAGGTTGGTGGAAAAGTAATTGCGATTTTGGACTTTGAATTTTAAATCATTATAACTAGGCTCAAGCACATCTTTATTAATCAAAATAGGAACCATTACATTCAACACATTTGTCCCCATGAGAAATAAGTTTGTTTGTTTCTGTAGCATAAAAATCCATGTGTTGGGATTTGACGATCTCTGGGAAAGCATTTTCTGCATCCTGCTGGTTATGGAAACCTTTTCCCTGCAAAAAGTTGTTGAGATGATTGAAGACATGGTAGTCAGTTGGCCAGAGGTCAGGTGAATGAGAGATGAGATAAAACTTCATAGCCCACTTCATTCAACTTTTTAAGTGTTGGTTATGAGATAGGCGGGCGGGAGTTGCGAAGAGTTGAGCCCTTTCTGTTGACCAATGCCGGCTGCCAGCTTTGCAATTTTCAGTACATCTCTTCAGTTTGGTGAGCATACTTCTCAGATGTAATGGTTTTACTGAGATTCAGAAAGCTGTAGTGGAACACAATGGCAGTAGACCACCAAACAGTGACCACAACATTTTTGTGGTACAAGTTTGGTTTTGGGAGGTGCTTTGGAGTTTCTTATTTGTCCAACCCCTGAGCATCACCAGTTGTCATATAAAATCCACTTTTCCTTTACATCACAATCCAACAAAGAAATGGTTCATTGTTGTTGCATAGAATAGGAGAAAACAACACTTCCAACAACGATTTTTGTTTTTATTTTTGCTCAGCTCATGAGGCACCCACTTACTTAGCATTTTCACCTTTCCAATTTGTTTCAAATGCTCAACAACCATAGAATGGTCAACATTCAGTTCTTCCACAACTTCTTGCATCATTGTAAGATGATCAGCTTCCATGATCACTCTCAATTGGTTGTTGTCAACTTCCAGTGGCCGGCCAGTATACTCCTCATATTCAAGGCTCTCATCTCCTTTGCCAGATTTCTTGAACCACTACTGCACTGTACATTTATTAGCAGTTCCTGGGCTAAATGCATCGTTGATGTTGCCAGTTGTCTCCACTTCTTTCTGGCCTATTTTGAACTCAAATAAGAAAATTGTTCTAATTTGCTTTGTGTCTAACATCATTTCCAAAGTCTAAAATAAACAGCAAATACTAAGTCATTAGCAAAATAAATAAATAAATGCCCATTAAAGTGATGTATAACATAATCAGATTTATTTAAGAATGTATTCCAATGTCAAAGGGCAAATTCTAACAATGCAGTTGTTAAACTGCAATTACATTTGCACTAACCTAATACTAACTCAAAAAAGGCGGGAAAATACAGCAGAGTGGGAACAAAAAAGAAATATTAAATAAATAGTAGATGACAGGATTAAATCTAATAATACCAATAATCATATTAAACAGAAATAAGCTAAAAATTCCAATGAAAAGGCAGAGATTATCAGATGAGATTAAAAAGCAAGATCTTACTATAAACTGTCTACAAGAAATGCATGTTAACTACAGAGAAAAATTGTTTACCATTAAACGGATGAAAGATTTACCATACTAACATTAATCAAAGGAAAAATTGAGTTACTATATAAATTTCAAAGTAAATTGATTTCAGAGTAAAGAACATAGCCAAGGAAAAGCTGGTCATTTCATAGCGATAATTAAGTCAATTTGGCAAGAGGTTATGGCAATCCTAAAGTTTGATCTTATTGATAAGAAAGCTTCAAAACACATGAAGTAATAACTGACAGAACCACAAGAAAAAATAAATGCATTATTATGGTCAAAAGTTTCAGTACCCCATTTCAATAACTTATAGAACAAATATAAACTAAGAATATAGAGGAACTAAAAAAAATGTACTATCAACCAATTTGATTCATTGAACACACCACTCAACAAGAGTCGAATATACATTCTTTTCAAGTGCACAGGAAACATTTATTAAGATATCCGATTTTCTGTCCATAAAAGCAGTCCCAATATATTTACAAGGCCAAATAAACATTGTCTGTTACTACAGTGAAATTAAATTAAAAACAAATACCATAAAAATCTCTGGAGAATCTTACAAATATTTAGAAACGATGGAACACATTTCTAAGCAATCCATTGGTCAGAAAAAGAAATCAAGAGATAATTAGAAAGTCATTAGAAATGAAAACGAAAACACAGCATATCAAAATATATGGGATGCTGCCAACGCAGTACAAACCATGATAAGCAGGAAAAGTTATAGCACTAAATAACTGGTTAAATAAATTTTCTTAAGTCTTAAATCAATGACTTTAGTGTCTTCTATAAAATACTAGTTATAATAGGAGCACAAATTAAACTTAAAGCAATAAGAAAAGAAAATAACTAAAGAGCAGAAATTATTGAAATAGCAGAGAAACAATTGAATGACCATTTAAGAGATCATATGAATAGCCCTATCTATTTTAAATAGGTTGAATTTTTAATTTAAAAACATTCCAAAAATTTTTTTAATCCCAGATGGTTTCAGTAGTGAATTCTACCATACATTTAAGAAAAAATTGTACCAATTTTGTGCAAATTCATTCAGAAATTGAAGAAGAGGGGAAATGTCCATAAGCATACTGAGGACAACATTAGTCTGATAGGAACACCAGACTACCTCATTGCAAGAAAACTACAGACCTGTCTCCCCTCATGGTGTGCACACAGAAATTCTCACTGAAATATAAGGAAGTCAAATGCAACAGTATACAAGCAGGATAATACTTTATCATGACCAACTGGGGTTTATCTGAGTGATGCATGATTGATTCAGCTTTCAAAATTCAAACCATGTAATTCACCACATTAATAAATTATTAAAGGAGAAATATACAATCACGTTAATGCAAATACACATAATTGTAAGTATCTGGCAAAATTCAATATTCATTCCTGATAAAAAAAATCTTAGCAAACAAGAAATAGATGGCAATTTCCAAAGCCTGAAAACGTACATCAAGGGAAAACATGCAACTGATGCCATGCTTATGGTGAAAAATTGAGCAAGTCTTTCTCTTAGAGCAAGAAAAAGACAAACATTTTTGCTCTCACCACTTTTATTCTACAATGTACTGGAGATTTTAGACATTTCAATAAACCAAGAAGAAAAAATATTCAAATTAGGAACAAGCAACTAAAGCCGTCTTAATCTTAGATGACATGACTGTCTGTGCAGAAAATCCTATAGAAATTACAGAAAAAGCGTCTAACCCGAATAAGTTAGTTGAGCAAGACTGCAGCATATAATTCTGATATAAATTTATAATATACTAGCAACAATCTGCAATTGATATTTTAAAAATACTATTTACAATAGCATAAAAATATAAAATTCTTAGAAATAAATATGATGAAAAAATGCTCAACATTTGCACACTGGCAACTATAAAATACTGCTGAAATAAATTAAAGAAAAACTAAACAAATCTAAAATTTGTATGCCCATTGGTTGGAAAAGTCAGTATACTTCAGATACCAATTTATAGATTTAATCAATCTATAGATTGAATGTAGTCTCAAACAAAATCCCAGCAGGGTTTCTGGAGAAATTGACAAGTTGATTCCAAAAATTGTATGGAAATGTAAGTGATCTAGAATAGCTAAAACAATATTATGAAAGAAGAGCACATTTGAGGCTGAAACTACTTAATTTAAAGACTAGTATAATGTGACAACAATTAAGACAGAATGATATTTGGCATAAAGATAGACAAATAGATATGGATAACTTATTTTTGACAAGCGTGAAGATCATTCAGTGGAGAAAGCTTATGCTATTTAACAAATGGTTCTGAAACAAATGAATATTAATATTCAAAGAAAAACAAACTTCAATCCTTATCTTGAACCATATTTGAAAAATTAATTCAGCTGGATTATACACTTAAATGCAAAATACAATACCATAAAACATCTAAAAAAATCTTGGTGTCATTTGACTAGGCAAAACTACTTTTTAAATATAATACTAATAGCATTTATCTAAATATAAAATTTTTAAAAAATAAATCAATTGACTATCATAAAAAATCAGTTCTTTAAATAACCAGTGTTAAGATAATTGAAGACAATGTGTAGACTGAGAGAAAATATATATCAAACATAAATCTGAGAAAGGACTTTTATTCAGAAAAAAAAAATATCTCTTAAATCTCAGCAATAAGAAAATAAACAGGCTGGGCATGGTGGCTCATGCCTGTAATTCCAGCATTTGGGAGGCCAAGGTGGGTGGATCATTTGAGGTCAGGAATTCAAGACCAGCCTGTCCAACATGGTAAAACCACGTCTGTACTAAAAAAACAAAAATTAGCCTGCTGTGGTGGCCAGCGCCTGTAATCCCAGCTACTTAGGAGGCTGAGGCAGGAGAATCGCTTGAGCCTGGGAGATGGAGGTTGCAGTAAGCCAAGATGGAACCACTGCACT